CTGTTCTTTGTTCCAAAGTCACAAACAGAACTGTACCTCAGGAAACATGTAAAAGCTGTCTTTACCTCACTTTATGTGCTGTCAGCTGGTGGGTTCAGCCTCTCCTGACTGCTGAAGAGCCCTTCAGCAAGAGTAAATGCTGATGGAGGTGGCAGATTAACAAGACAATGTGAGGGGTAGTGAAGTAATGTGCCAAATGCAGAAAACAAAGACAAAGCATCAATGGGAGCGTGTGTAAACCACCCAAGAGCTTTCTCTTTGGCCTGTTGGCAACCTTTGGTCTTGATCTTTGCAGCTCAGTTGTGCTGAGGCAGAGAGAGCAGAAAGTCTTGATATCTCTTGCTGAATTTGCCCACCAAGAAATACCTGTGAGCTTGCATGTTCAAACAGGAACAGGCTCTGAGCTGGCCAGATCAGAGTGAGGGAGGAGAGAACATAGAGCAGGTTTCCCTGGAGGTGCAACATTAATGACACCCGCTTGGCACCCTGTTGTATCTGAAGGCTGGGTAAATACCACATCCATCTCACCTCTGGGATGTCTTGGGAGATGTCTTGCTCAAGATAACAAATCATAGAATCAACTAGGTTGGAAGAGACCTTTAAGATCATTGAGTCCAAATCAGTCGATGAGTTGAGTAAAACATGTTTCTTGTTTCTATTCTTGCTTATCTGCTGAGGGCACTTCCTGAGACAAAGATCAAAAGCCTTGGAACAAACCAGCTGGCTCCCTTACAAGTCCTGTGTGAGAGCTGATAATGGTGCTGAAAAGCTGTTGGATGCAAGCACGTGGCTCTGGGTATTCGGCAGCTGCAGTGTGGGAGGAGAGCAGGGTCTTGGGTTTGTTTTCACAGTGTGGATCTGGGTGGTAACTGCTCAACTTTCTACCACCAGCTAAGGCAAGTGCTCAAGTCCTGTTTTTCTAGAAAAGCATCATTTGATATACTTTATATTGTTTATTGACTTTTATAGCCTCTCGCTGCACTTTAATCACTAAAAGTGAGGAAAAGATCCAGCACCGTGTCAAGTCCCAGTTTTCCATGGCTCATTGGAGATGGATGGTGGACCATAAAGCATCATAGAATGGTTTGGGTTGGAAGGGACCTTAAAGCTCATCGAGTTCCAACCCCCTGTCACGGGCAGGGACACCTTCCACTAGAGCAGCTTGCTCCAAGCCCAGTCCAACCTGGCCTTGATATGGGAACGGTTGTTGGCATCTTGTTACCATGTCATGTCCTAAAACAACACTGTGTTTGGGGTAGTCTACCAAACACAAGCTCTGAAGTGTTGTATTACAGAGAAACATCCGTGCTTTTACAGTCCACTTAAACTCCAAGGGCAAGTCGTTTTCAGAGGAACATCCAGTTACAAAACATCAGTGGTTTGTGGCACTAACACCATCAGATTCCCTGTTCCTTGCTTGTCACTGCAGTGTAACTTTACAGTCCATTACCTTCTGCCTTGACCTTATTCTGGCAAACTCCTTTTCAGCCCACAGGAGCAGAGTATTTAGTAACTTGTCTCTCAGAAAGCAGCCAAACAAGAACAAATGCTGCAGAACAAGTCTCCTACCCTCATTTCCCAAAACATGCAGGTCTGAGCCTGTGGAACGTTTGCCTTGTTGTATAACCTGGCTGTGGTGGAGGCTGCAAACCTCTCAACAACCAGACCAAAAGTTAAGTATCCCGCATTGTTCAGCCTGGAGAAGAGAAGGCTTCGGGGAGACCTTAGAGCAGCTCCTAGTGCCTGAAGGGGCCAACAAGAAACTTGGAGAGGGGCTTCTGGCCTGTAGGGACAGGACAAGGGAGAATGGTTTTAATCTGATAGAGGGGAGATTGAGATGAGCTCTTAGGCAGAAGCTCTTCCCTGTGAGGGTGCTGAGGCGCTGGCACAGGATGCCCAGAGAAGCTGTGGCTGCCCCATCCCCGGCAAGTGTTCAAGGCCAGGCTTGGAGCAACCTGCTCTAGTGGAAGTTGTCCCTGCCCATGGCAGGGAATTGGAAGGAGCTGGATGAGCTTTAAGGTTCCTTCCAACCCAAAGCAGCCTGAGATTCTATGATTTACATTTTCTAGTATATGTAGGGCCCATCTCTTTGCTTATGCCTGTAATGCCTACGGGCAGGACAACATAAATTTGTACCTTCACCTCTTCGAATTGCTGTCCAGCCTTTTCCCATAAGAGGCCTGGGTGGCTGAGAGGGAGTTAAAAAGAAATGTGAGGCACACTAATTTGGGTATAAGCCACAGGCAGTTGCATGAGCCAGAGGGAGCAGCCTGTAGCAAAACATGCTTAGTGAAGTGTCCCAAATCCCCTTGATTCCTACAGGATCAGCATGAAGGCCAGTGTAAGTCTTTCATATGGGGAAAGCTGTGTCTTCAGCCACTGAGACATCTGGATTTGATGAATTTGTTACTGGCAAAAGCTCTCAGCAATGAGCAACATGTAAAGCAGAGGCTGATGGCAGTACACTGTGGCAGTACAGCCCATGCTTCCACCTCCTGTTCAAACAATGGGAGTGAGGGCTCACTACTGCAGTCAGAACAAAACCTACAGGGGTCACCCTTAAATCCTGTGTTATGAAATACCTTTAATTTAAAGTTAAGGAAATATGAGCATCACCCAAGTTGTGTATGTGTGGTAGTAAAAGAACTGAAGACCTTGTGATGGAACTGAGAAACATCAACCCATCAAATGCCTACAAAGCATGGTGGGGTGGTGTGTCCTACAAGGCTGCACCCCCTCACGTGAGCCAGGTTCCTGATTACCCCAGCACAGCACTGGTTTGAACCCCCTGAGCAACTTCCCTGTAGGGTCAAGCAATTAGATCCCATCACTTTCTGGTCTAGTCATGCAGGTAGGAGCTGCAGGGGATCATGGAATGGTGCAGTGCCTCACACCCATCACAGGGAAGAACTTCCTTATATCTCATCTAAATCTCCCTGCTGTCTTTTGGGGAGTGGGGGGAGGAGGACAGGCCTTTCTTTGACTGAAAAGCTGTTCAGCATAAGCCATATTCTATTTCTACAACTAAACCAAAAACTGAACTAAGCACTGAGCAGAACAAATCTCTCTTTCAAGGAAGCCATTTCCTGGGGCTTGCACTTCAAGAAAGCCAGTGTGGCTGCCGGGGGGTGTCTGTTGTGCTTAAAACATGACCCCCTTGCACACAGGCATCCCCATTCTCTGGCCACTGGAGCCCTAAGATCACCTCGCTTGCAGTAACTCAGCTGGGTTACAGCAGGGACTTGTCCAAACGCATTTAACTGTTTACTACATGGCAATGAACAAGAGATTCACTCTGAGGTTAAGGCTCCTTCCTGTACCTGTCTGGTTGTGAGCCTGGTGTCTGAGTAGCTGAATGCAGATGCCTGCTGGGCATGAGATTGCTTCAGAAACCAGAAAGGTTTGTGCTGAACTACAGGCTACACTGAGACAGGGGATAGATACAGGTTGTTTAAAATGTTGAAGTTTTTCAGACACTTGATTCCGAACAGCTGGTTGAGCCATCAAGGGTTTAAATCAGGTTGCTCGATGCTTTCACAAGTTTGTAAGTGGGAAATGCGCAGACTGCCTGTGCCTGTGGGACGCAGGACACACTGCATTGTGTCTGCCTGCAGGGTGTCCAGGATGTGCAATGAGAGTGGAAAAACCCCACCAAATCAATGCACTGAGATCATAGAATCACAGCATAGTTTGGGTTGGAAAGGACCTTAAGATCATCCAGTTCCAGCCCCCTGCCGTGGGCAGGGATGCCTCCCACTAGACCACGTCACCCAAGGCTCTGTCCAACCTGGCCTTGAACACTGCCAGGGATGGAGCATTCACAACTTCCTTGGGCAACCCATTCCAGTGCCTCGGCACCCTCACAGTAAAGAACTTACATCTAACCTTAACTTCCCCTGTTTAAGTTTGTACCAATCACCCCTTGTCTATCACTACAGTCCCTGATGAAGAGTCCCTCCCCAGGATCCCTATAGGTCCCCTTCAGATACTGGAAGGCTTCTATGAGGTCTCCACGCAGCCTTCTCTTCTCCAGGCTGAACAGCCCCAACTTTCTCAGCCTGTCTCCATACAGGAGGTGCTCCAGTCCCCTGATCATCCTCGTGGCCTCCTCTGGTCTTCCTCCAACAGCTCCATGTCCTTCTTATGTTGAGGACACCAGAACTGCACACAGTGCTGCAAGTACTGTGTTTTCATAGAGACCATCCACAAAGCAAAGGCAGCCTTAGACAGCATATTTGGCCAATTTTGAAATATATTTAATACTCTGATGATTTGTATGCTGCTTTTTTTTTTTCAATTGATTTTTTTATTATTTCAATGTATTTAAGTAGGGAGTTATGGAGATAGATAAAAGGCATTAAAACATTTAATTGCTAACAGTAGTTGAATTATACTTGGATACACTAGATTTGGCTTTAGCAGAGTATGAAGTATTTTGCAACAGTTGTACATTTTATGGCAGCCTGCATTTACCCATTCAGGGTCTTATCCAGCAGGCATTCCACATTTGACAGACTGCAAGGGGGGGACCACTTAAACTAAGTGTTAACTTGAATCCTTTGTTAGATGTATGTACAGCTACATGGAGTCATCAGACATTTCCAAAGAATATATTAAGAAAATTAGGAACATTTCCTATTAGACATTAGGAAGAAATTCTTTACTGTGGTGAGACCCTGGCACAGGTTGGCCAGAGAAGCTGTGGCTGCCTCATCCCTGGCCAGGTTGGATGGGGCTTGGAGCCACCTGCTCTCGTGGAAGGTGTCTCTGCCTGTGGAACTGGATGGAGCTTTAAAGTCCCTTCCAGCCTAAACTGTTCTGTGATTCTATGACTGAGAAGCCCATAAAATGTGCAAGAGCTCTCTCTTTGGTAAGGAAAGCACCCTCTCCATGCCCATCTGCATGCAGACATACATTGCATTAAACTTAAACTTGTAAATCATGATCCAGGCACTCAAAAAGAGTTCTCACAAAGCCCAGTGCCACATGCTCCTTGAAGAGCAGAGCAAATATTTAATGAACTGAGAATGTTACAGTCCCAGGTTAACAGCACAGCTTGTCTGTTCTTAACCAACCTTTTCTTTAGATAAAGCCCTGATCATCCGAGCTGTGATGCGCCTGTCTGATTTATGACCCATGCCGTCTTCTGTGCCCCTTCTGCTTGGCATTTCTTCTGCTTGTTCATGAATAGGCACAGCTTTTCCAATCACACACATCAGCTTTGTCTCCAGAGGAGCCAGTTCTAAGTGTTCCTTAGGAAGAAAGAATATTATTCCTGTGCAATTCCATGGAAAAGCAGCTTTCTTCAAAAAAAAAAAACAGTAATTTTCCTTTATAAAGCAATGGTGAAGATGCTGCCCTGGGGTTGTATGTTGGGTAATGTTTGTGTTAACAGGCTTGGTTTACCAGCCAGCTCATTTTAGGAGGCTGCAGCCCTAATGCCCTCCTCTTCCCCTGTGTGATTTCACCTATATCCCTTTCTCTGCAAAGCACATTCTGTCTCAAGTTCAGGTCTGTGGGAAGAATTAAACTAATCCAACAGCTCACTGCTGCCAAAAGAGAGAGCTCCAAGTCCAGCCACGTGTTTCCACCACGTCTGTGTAGGTGCTGGTCTTCTCCAAACCTCTGACTCACTTGTGTTGACTAACCCACCAGAAAAGTAATTCAGGAGGAGAAGAAAAGGCAAGTTTTGATGCTGGGTTAGTAAGTGAATCAGCTACAGGAAAGGCCAATGTGCGCTATGGATTCCCTAAGGGCAGGAGCAGCACCATATGGCCAAAGCCAGGAGGGGGAAGGAGGAAAGCTACAGTGCAACTATTGAATCACCTCTATTTAACGAATGGGTTCTTAATACTTGCTAATGCACCTCCACTGTCTGCAATTATACCTCCATTCCTGGGAATGACTCTCAGCAGCACCTACAGCCTTCATGTGAGGTGGGCTCTGCAGTGCTAACAGCAGGGAGAAAGAAGTAAAGCAAGTGTTCATCTCCCAGGGTGACACCAGCAAGGAAGCAAACATGTGGGGAGATCTGTTTTGGTTAAATGTTGTTCATTTCTCTGTATGACTTTTCAGGACAGAGCCACTGCTTAAGTTAGTCTCTGATCAAGGCGACAGGGTCATTTCTCTGAACACAAGTTGCAGGGTATTAATCAAACTAATGGCAGATTTCTAGGAAAAGAGTTGTGGGATTTTCTGTTTTTCTTTAAAATCCCCTAAACTCATCACTGAGTAAGTTTGAATTGAATATTCAAGGGTAAAGAAACCTGGAGAAATGTCTTCATACAGCAAACCCTGCAGTCTGCACCCTGTCTGTAGCATCTGCTTTACTCTACAGTAGAAATCTATAATGTAGAGCAATGTATTTTCTGAGAGTACTTAGTTTATTTAGAAATGTATCAAAGTTTTCAGTTCACTTCAAGGCCAGGTTGGACGGGGCTTGGAGCAACCTGATCTAGTGGAAGGTGTCCCTGCCTGTGTCAGGGGGTTGGAACTGGATGAGCTATAAGGTTCCTTCCAACCCAAACCAGTCTGGGACTCTGTGATTCACAACTTGAGTATAGAATCAAAGGCACCCAGGAAGCATCGTTTTGCTGCCTGGGATCAAGGATCTCCCAAGGCAGGTGCCATCACTTCTTTTGAAGGAAGATCTCTCTGCCTTGGGAGATCTCTCTGCCTATTTACATATAATCTGTACCTTTTTATTTTCTCAACCCCTGTATTCTGCACCCAAGAACACCTTTATCCTGTTTTTCTGTTGAAGTAATACATTCCTTGTTGACCCTTTAATGCTACTATGCAACACAAATTTTGAAGGACCATGAATGAAGTGAATGAGTCTGTGCAATTCACAAATGGTGACATCCAGAATTCTTTCTAGGGGGAATTTCACCCTGACACTCATGTATGCTGATTCCTAAGACACCAAAACAGTGTGTCTCTGGTACCAGAAATGCCCTAAGGTATCCAAACCATCCATATGATGCTGGCTGGTATGACACAGAACCCATGCTCTTCTGGCCCAGCATATGAAAGAAAAGGAGTGTCCTTACCACCTCAAATAGCACCATGTGCCTATGGTTACGCATCTGAATTGTACACTTGGTAAAAGAGATGGGAGTTTTTCCTGCCATGACACCAGTGGGAATAGAACCCTGCTGGCAGTAACTCATGCTCTGTACTGAAAGATGTGTCAGTGAGAGACTCAATTACTTGAATTCATACCTGGATATCTTTTCCATCTTCATAAAAGAGGCTGCCCAGGGTTGGAGTGAGTGGCTGTTCCCCTACCTCCACATCACTCTCTTGGGGCTCCTCAGTGTCTGATGTAGACTGAATCTTTGGAAAGGATTTTGTTTTCTGACAGGAGTCTGTGGCACTTCCGAGGCTTTCATCCCCATCTGCCTCTGCTGTTTAAAGAGAAGAATAATGATGTGTATGGAATTGTTAAGCTTTATGAAGACCAGAATTAATACTTGGTATGAGCATTGCCTGCAATCCTTAATGTGGCTTGGCCAGTGCAATGCAAAGAACAGCTTGGGAAGACTTTTAATTGGCTATCCAAGCCAAATGTGGAGTTTGCCTGGGACAAGGACTTGACTCCAGGTTACTGGAACAAAACCTTCTTCTCCCAGTAACTACTGTAAGGGTCTAGCAAAGGGAATAGAACTGAACTGCTCAAAATAAACATATATCCAATTCAAAAGCCTTAGTCAACATGTTTGCTGATGCCTGATAGTTCCAGAAAGGTCCACCTATGGCTGGAACTGGTCAGAACTTCAACAGACTTGTCCATGTATCCGTAAGTGTATGGCTTCAGTTTTTTCAGCTTAACTTTTTGATTTGTGTCCTTTCTTCCCCCCTCTTTCTTCTACTCACATAGAGATGTAAAATAAAACGTGATACTAAGGAATCCATAGAAAACACCCTAAACAGACAAAAACACTCACATGGTCCTTCTTGCCTAATGGTACATCCTTCTTTAGGGCACACCTACCAGAATAAGTGGAGATTTGACACAAATTGAGTACCGCTTACCAGGATGTTCAGTTCAGGCTGAGCTCTGTGTAGCTTCATCTGCTGTTGCTAGGGATTCATTCAGCATTTAAGTCCAGTGTGTCTCAGTGTCAGACTGAATGTAAAGTGCATGTACAGTGCAAATGAAAGGAGTTCAAGAGTAACCTCTCAGGGACAAGATACAATGAAGTTATGGTGACATGGATCAGTAAAGAATAGACTGGAGAGGGTCCAGAGAAGGGCCATGAAGATGTTCCAAGGACTGGGAAGCTATATGAGGAAAGGCTGAGAGAGCTGGGGCTGTTCAGCCTGGAGAAAAGAAGATTCAGGGGAGACCTTATCAGCATGTTCCAGTATGTAAAGGGTGGCTAAAAAGACAGAGGCCCCCTTTTTACAAGGAGTTACATGGAAAAGACTAGGGGTGATGGGGACAACTTACTCCTGGGGAGATTCTGACTGAACACAAGTGGAAAATTTATCCCAGTAAGAATGATGCCATTGGAATAATCTCTCTGGGGAAGGGGTGGATTCCCCAATGTTGGACACTTCTAAGGTTTGGCTGGACATGGTGCTGGGACATCTAGTCTGGGTCATGCTTTGCCTAGAAAGGATGGACCAGATGATTCTTGAGGTCCCTTCTAACCTGGGATTCGATGAGTCTGTGATTCTATGATTAAGATATGAATCATATCTTCAAAAGATAGCCAGTCCTGTACCCACATTACAGGCCAGGTCTAGATTCTACAATTTAAACAGCAATTTCAATTTTAAGACTGTATTACAGGTAGATTGTGGGTTTGTCTTCTTAAACTACAGTCTATCATTGGTGTGGTGCCTGCAGTTAAGTGGGAAACCAAGTGTTCATCTTGTCAAACATCTGTTTGATAATAAAGAAATAAAAAGCATATAAATCTTCAGTAACTTATCTGTTCTTAGAAGCTGCATGTGCTTTACCTGCATACTTGCTATACTCTACTGCTTTCATTCCATCCTTAAGAAACTCATGTGGCAAGCCAGCTGCAAGATGCCTATGGAATTAAAATATAAAGAAAAACTCATATTAAAGGCCTGAATTGGCTTTCTGAATTGTCCTGTGCAATGTTTTGGGGGGAGGACACCCTATCTCAAAGCCATTTGTTGCTTAACCACAAAGGCAGAATAGCGCAATGGTTTAAAAATGCACTGCAGGCAGCCAGGTAGCTTAGTGGCTAAAAAGCTGCTCTTTCTTATTCTTAGTGCTTCAGTTCAACTATGTCCATGAGACTAAAAGAAAACAAATGTTATATTCTCCAGTCAGTCCAAGATTCAAACCACAGCTGGCAGCTGTCACTTAAAAGCAGTCCAAAGTTTGGAGAGGAGAGAAAAATGGTCACTTCCTAAGACTTGGAACCTTTCTCTGCAATATGGCTGAAATCACTGGGCTGGGAATGGAAAATGGAGTTGGATCATTCCCATTGTTACACTGTGCTTTTGATACCATTCATGTTGGTATTCTGGGGTTAAATTAATATTTCTCTAGGGAACAAGATCATTTCAATACAAATAAACTAATACTACAGACACCTTTACAGATAGACCTATCCCAAAGCCTCTGCCTTACTCAGTACCAGGTCATCTATTTCATTTGAGATTGCAAAACAGCATTTATTTGTATATTAATCTTCATATCCTTAAACATTTTGCCAACAGAAAAGGGAAAATCTATTACTCAGCACTTGGTCCGAGACAATTACAATAGAAAGAAACTATTTCCAAGCCTCACTAAAAGAAAGTGTCGTTAGGTCTTAAGAGATTATTAAAGAACCCAGTTTCTTCCCTGAATTTTGGTATTGAGGAGGTTACAATGGCACAGGCATTCTTTAGAGAAACAAGTCCCACACATACCCAGTCAAATCCTGCTTGTCCTCAACTAGAAAACTTGGCTTTGCTGTAGGTGAACCCAAATAGATTTAAAGGTTGAAGGCAGCATTATCTTTTAAAAAGATGAATCACTTCTGAGTCTGTCAAGGCTTCATTTTACCTGGGTACTCCTAGATACTCAAGTCTGCTATCAACCAGTTTTGCCACTAGAGCGATATTTTCTTCTTCCAGGAGTTGAATTGAGGCTTTCAAATCACTCACTTCCTTTTGGTACAGCTTAACCTTTTGACAATGAAAGCAAAAATAATAGGATCATCTTAGAAAGGCTATACCCATTGTGGAAAGATTTCACAGTGACTATCTTAATAGCACATACTTTGCTATAACAGGCTGAGAAAGAGTGACACATTTTCAGGCAAGGGAAGGCATCTCTGGTTCTTTCACCCCTTTATTACAGCCATTTACTGCCACAACTCTCTCAATCAGAGCCACACATTTGGGCTTTGCAACCCTGAGAGCAAAACCTTCTCATATAGCCACATAGGTCTGGTAGACAGAAGCTCTGCATTTTTCTTTCTTGCTTTCACATCAGAGCTTGGAGAGAAAACCCTTAAAGACAATCTAGTTCCAACCCCCTGCCACAGGCAGGGACCTTTTCCACTAGAGCAGGTTGCTCCAAGCTCCATCAAACCTGGCCTTGAAAACTGCCAGGGATGGGGCAGCCACAGCTTCTCTGGGCACCCTGTGCCAGCACCTCACCACATCACAGGGAAGAGCATCTGGATGTCTAATCAAGACCTCCCCTCTGGCAGGTTGAAGCCATTCCCCCTTGTCCTATCTCTACAGGCTCTTGTAAAAATTCCCTCTTTAGCTTTCTTGTTTCAATACAGCACCCCCAGAACTTTAATGCAATTCAAATGTACACTCTCCAAATACTTAGATGGCTGGGACTTTACACTACAGAGTATTCCTATCTTTGTAGATACAAATACTTAACTGCTTGGGTGGGAAAACGATTCTTTCATTGGTGAACAGAGATGTTCATCTTTACCTTTATTCACCGCATACACTGTTTGCTGTTCAGGACTGCAGAGTAATTACAGGAAAATTGCTCTCCTTTTCCTTTGGAAGTCTTCAGAGGCTCATCACTGGAACCAGTTATGACTGTAGACTACGGCGCTTCAAAACTGAACTACCGTGATCAACTGCACACAAGTGATGCTCTTACCTCTTCTTTTAGCCAGCTATTCTCTTCAATTTCTCTGCAGCTGTCTTTGTCTAAGTATCTCACAGCATTCTGAGGAAACACAATTTGAGATCTCATCTGAAAGCTGGACTTTGACAGTGCTGCAGACTATACAGAGCCTTCTGCTCTTTTGCAGGAAACAACTAAGAAACATCCACACAACAGCCTGTAGCATCCCCTGAGAGAGCGCAAGGGGATTTAGTCCCCAGGGCCACATGTTTCTTCTCCATCATCCTGACTAGTGCAGTTTATATGTCAAGTAATTTACCAAGATTTTAATTTCCCATATTAAGATAGGACATTCCCTTTTCACCTAACAGGTTCTGCTATGTTCCCATTACTGCCCAAATATTCCTGTTTGCAGGAAATCAAAGCTTTAGCTATTAAAAAACCCAAGCAAAACCACAAATTAATCGGAACCGATATATGACAAATGACTTAAACATGCAGAGGTCCATGCTCATGAGCCAAGGATACAGTTACTGATGTCAGTAAGGGGAAAGGAGCAACTAGGGAGAGAAAATCTCCTGTAGATCACCATGAACACAGGCCTTTGGATTATATTCTCACATGATTGCATATACCAGCATTGAAGTCAGGGAATTTAAATACCTCATGGTCCCAAGCAATGATTTGTATTGAAGTACACTCTGCATTTTGTGAGTGTAAGAAGACCTCACCATAAATACTTTGCAGATCAGCTGGCTGACATGACTCAATATATATATATATATACACACATATATATATGTGTCAATAAACCTAAATTTTACTGCAGACTGCACTATTTTGACATTTTAAATGTTTTAAAGTAAGTTTGAAAGTACTTTTCAAATTGATGTATATTTCAATGCAGACAATCTCTTAGTGTATTAATTGTTGTTTGAAGTCACAGCAAAAGTGACCTGCTCTTGAGCAATTGAAGTCAGTGCATGGTTCCCCAGTTTCCCATACCTTGCTTGGAAAATGCCCTCACATCTATTCATTGTTAGTCTGATGTAAAACCAAAAGTACATGTGTGTATAACAATAACCAGTGTCATGTCTGGTAAGAAAATGTACATTTATTTTACTCTCAAGTTATTAGAAAAGTTCCAAGTCTTAATTCAAGTGAAAATAATTCTTAATGCAGAGTACATGAATCCTAACTATGATACAGCTAGCACTTGTAAAAAGGCAGAAGGAATACCTCAGGGGCCTGTTCCTTAACTAAGTCCATGTGCTTCAAAACCAGTCTGGTATTTTCTTCTTTCATTGCTTTCAAAGCATTTCTGTAATATTCTTCAAAACAAACAAAAGAAGGAAATCAGAAATCATTATTTGACATCCATTTCTCCTGACATTTAATAGATAAACTGGAATTTATCAGCCAGCATCACATAGAAACATAGAATGGTTTGGGTTGCAAAGGACCTTAAGATCATGCAGTTCCAATCCCCTGCCAAGGACAGGGATGCCTCATCCTAGACAATGTCCCCCAAGGCTCTGTCCAACCTGGTCTTGAACACTGCCAGGGATGAGGCTGCCACAGCTTCTCTGGGCAACCCATTCCACACCTCACCACCCTCACAATAAAGAAGTTCTGCCTTATATCTAACTTGAACTTCCCCTGTTTTAAGTTTGAACCCATCACCCCTTGTCCTACCACTACAGTCCCTGATGAAGAGTCCCTCTCCAGCATCCTTGTAGGCCCCCTTCAGATACTGGAAGGCTGCTATGAGGTTTCCACACAGCTTCCCTTCTCCAGGCTGAATTTGTTTAGCTTCCAGCTCTAGTCACTTGCTATTTAATTATTGCATCCTTCCCTTCAGTTGTTTTTGTGCTATGCAAAACAGCCCCCTGCTGCTTGGGTTTTCTCCTTTTGAAGGAGTGAATGAGATTGTAGTAGTTTTCTTTGAAGGAAAGCACTTCATACTTGTTCCAGAGGCTTGAAATTCAGCCTAGCTCTGCACTTGTGTTGCAGACAGCCTATTGCAGGCTTGGCTGTAAATGGTCATGGACCCACTGTGGAGTCAAAGGCTGTCAAATATGAAAGGTGCATTAGTTGTGCATTAGTTCTTAATTTAACATGGTAAAAGCTGGCCTGCCTTAATCAACCTGCCATCTAGACTTCATTCATCTAGAATGAAATGAAAGTACTTACAGACTATTATTAATTCATCTTTTCATTCTTTCACACAGCTAAACAACCTGATCTGTGATGGGAGAATGCAGAAAAGGAGGAACTCTTCGCATATACTTACTGTTTTTAAGGAGGCTATTTGCCTTAATTCTCACAGCAACACTGTTCTCCCCACACCTCACGTAAGTGTAGGGCACTTTTTTGTTTCTTCTCCCCTCCAGCAATTTTATTTAAACTGTCATCACCAGACCACATGAACTGTGCCAACATCAAGCCCTACAGAGATAGAAACCTCTTCACTTATGCTTATTTTATTCCATAAACCTGTTACACATTTAGGGAGTGAACAAGCCCAGTTTGCTGCTGCATCACTCTGTCAGCTTGTTAGATTTATTTCTCTTTGGGTTTGGGTTTGTTTTCTTTTTGATAGGCTGGAAAACTGTACTCCCCAGCCACTTTGTATGTTAGATTTTAGGAAGCTGAGTAAAATAGACTGCTAACATCCAGTACTGGCAGCATCATTCTTTAGTATGTTAACTAGGCAACTGCTATATGTACCTCTGTAACAGTCTTTCTATAAATACACTTCCATTTGACCACAAATTGAACCCTGTGACATGCAGGTCAGACAGAATGTTCCTATTGGCTCATTCTGGCATTCTATATAAAAGCCCATTCTCTTTTTAATTTCATAGCTCAGCAGCTGTATAGAAAAGTTTTAGATTGATTCAGAGCATGGAAAACACATAATGAAAAATATCAACCTCTCCTGAATACAGACATGGATATCTGACAAGCTATCTGATGATGTAGAAAGCACAGTGCAGGTCTTAACTGGGATCAAATATGTTTCAAAAGACAAAAAGATATCTGGCTCTTATCCACAGTACTTGATGCCTGGTAATGGTTGGCACAGAATATACAGAGACCCTTAGAGCAGTGTCACTGCCTGTTACTACCAGCTGCTTGGCTGTGGCTATGCATACTGAGAGGGCCATAAAGGAGAAAAACCAAGACATCCTTGTCGTGTTGGAAGCATGGGATATGTAACAGCAAAACTATTTAAAAGGTTTTAAAATAGTGCAGTAGTAAAGAAACCTTTGTGAAGCACTCAACAGCAGAATACATAAGCTCTCAAGTTCATTCCACTGTTGTGTCAGTATTGAAACAGTTCCCAGCATTTGTGTATGTCTGTAGTGGCAGTTTTGCAGGGCCTCATGCATGGGACTATACAAAGCTCAGCCCACTGGCACAACAGCTCCCTCTACTTGTGCATTTCAACCATGCTCAGCTGAAAAGACTTCCAAGAACGAGCTCACAGCACTTTCCCATCGAAAGAGTTTTCCACATGTGAAGTGCTTGGAGCATGATAAGAAGCAACAGCAGCAGAGTCAACGTTTTCAAGCATGACTGCTGAGGGAGTCCTATGTGTAGGTGACCTCAATAGATGTAACTTATATTTAGAAACCTGCTGTCCTTCACAGGAACAGTTTTTAGAAATGGGCTGCCTGTATTTGACAAGGAAGTTGTCAGGAGACAAACTGATCAGTTTCTTGAAGTGTTCATAATTCCTGGGACTTTGTTTCTTTAATAAAGGGACTTTCACAGAGAGAGAGGGAGAAAGAAAGAGAGAAATAGATAAAAAAGAGAAAAAAAGAGAGAAGAGGGAAGAAATGGAAAGGGAAGGGAGGGAGAAAGGAAAGGAGAAAGGGTAAAGATGAAAGGAGAAAAGAAAGCAGAAAGAAAAAGGGAAAGGAAAGGGAAAAGGAAAGGGAAAGGGAAAGGGAAAGGGAAGGAAAGGGGAAAGGAAAAGGGGAAGGAGAAGGAGAAGGAGAAGGAGAAGGGAAAGAAAAGGGGAAAGGAAAGGGAAAAGGGAAAGAAAAGGGGAAAGGAAAGGGAAAAGGGAAAGGAAAGGGAAAGGGAAAGGAAAGGGAAAAGGAAAGGGGAAGGGAAAGGCTTTCCATTTTATACAATTATGCAGCCCTCCTCAGGTACACTGTCTTGGAAAACTTCACAGAAATTATCAGAATATGACCTCAAATTACATATATAATTTAATTGATTTGGACAAGTAATATACAAAAAGCCTCTAAAATTTGCTTTACACCAGCTGTAAAGCAAGTGTTTGCAGCTGGTAACTGACCAAAAATGTTTACAGCTGTAAACCAACCTGTAGCTCTGTGGAAATCATCTTTGACTTCTTTAATGTCTTTTTCCAGACTCATAATCTTCTTAGCTTCTATTTTACTTCCTACATTTTTATACTCCAAGCAATCATCTTTCTCACTCTGCTTTACTGAGATTTTTTGGTTGATTTCTTCAATTTGGGAGCGCAGATCTATGAAAATCAGAATAACAAAAGGCAGGTTCATTACCAGCTTCTTGAACTGATAGTTTGTAATTCTTACTTCATTAAAATCTTTAATAAAGGCACTTTCAGTGGGATTGGAGAAAGAAGAGTGCTTCTTCTACCCCACAATACATTACAACACGATGGCCTCATGCAGTGTCAAGGGCCACCATCATTGCTGAAAACAACTTGATCTTCTGCCAAGGAGAACCAACAGTTCTCACTGAAATGTAACCAAATGCACATGTGTGTCCCACAGAGAATCACAGGGATGGTAGCCAGGGCTCTAAACAATAAAAACTGGTAATTTTTGCTGCCCTCATAATCTTCCATTGGAGCCATTGGGTTTTCATAACTTGCCACTGCACTTGCACAGTGGTCTACATCACTTGGAAAGAACAGATTTACTTACAAACTCTCTACAGTCTCATATCACATTGAGAGAGCTTAATTTTGGGGCGAAAAGCTCTATGCTTCAACAAGGAACTTGAATCTTGATTTAAAATACAAAAAGAAGTACTAAATCCCAAGGGTGTCAACTGCAACTTCCACAACTCACAGCACACCTTCCAGAAGTTGTTCTTTGTCCTTAACATACTGCCATGTTGCTATCAGCGACTTCTCCACATCATCCCTAGTTACAACCTCCTTATTTCGTTCTTTCTGCTCTTCGTCTATTTGCTCCAGTAAGCGCCTGATGCGTGCTTGAAGTTCCTTCTTCAGCAGCTCATGCTATGAAAGAGCAGAAGAAAAAGCATGTATAAAACCAGTTTCAAATTGGTTTTCAAAGTGACAAGTGTAAGTAGTGAAGAAAAGTAAAATCTGACCCAGTGCCAGGATGCACTGCAAAACCACTCGGCTAAGTATCTCCTCATCTTGGTCCTACAAGGATGCTGGGGAGGGACTCTTTATTAAGGGAATGTAGTGATAGTACAAGGGGTGATGGGTTCAAACTTAAACAGGAGAAGTTTAGGTTAGATATAAGAAAGAAGTTCTTTACTGTGAGGATGGTGAGGCACTGGAATGGGTTGCCCAGAGAAGTGGTAAATGCTCCATCCCTGGCAGTGTTCAAGGCCAGGTTGGATGGAGTCTTGGGTGACATGGTCTAGTGCAAGGTGTCCCTGCCAATGGCAGGGAGGTTGGAACTGGATGATCTCAAAGTCCTTTCCAATCCTAACTGTTCTATGATCCTATATTCAAAAAGGGTGGAGCAGAAGGAACAGTGTGCAAGTCTCAGAATTTTCCTCAGTCTTGAAGACTATTACAAGGAAATGGAGACAAATGACTGCTGGACTTGGTGCAGAACATCAATAGTCAGATTCTTTCTGGTACCCTTGTAGAACTCCTGTGGGTCAGCTTAATAACTATTTATTTGTAGGAGTTATTTACTTCACATTCATTCTTGATGAGAATGTACCAACTTCATGTAGAAATGTCATCAGTCAAGCAGGTCACTTTCATATACCCATAGTAGAGAGTCTTGTAAAGAGCTGAAATTAATTATACTGACTGATTCCACAACTGTGATTATAACCCCTTACCATGGCCCTCTCAAGGGGCACTCAAGTTACATGGTCAGTAATTTCAAATATGTTTGCTCTCAAAGGATACCATAACTGTAACAGTGACTGTTCAGTACACAGTCTCAAGCATTCGTCACTTCTGGATGGATGAACTCTAAACCACACAATATCACTAAGGAAATAAAGGATGGAGCTCAAAGAACTGTCAAAACATAGGTAAATTAAGCAAATAGTACTTCAAGTATGCCCTGAAGTACCTTGCACAACCTAAAATACGAAGGAGTCCTTGTGAGACCATGAACTAGCAGCAAACTGGGGGAAGAACCATAAGAGACTTCAGATGTCTGCAGGGAGAAGAGCCAAATGATACTTCCACTGATAGTTAAGGCCACAAATGAAACACCATCCATGCTTCAAGACAGAAAGTAACGCCAAGGAAAGCTAAACAGAGGTCTGAACAGATACAGGGCAAGTATCAGCATAGGAAGGCTAAAGAGACATTTTTCTTGCTATAGGAAGTGGTGCAGCCTGCAACAGTGTTCAATCACATAATCCAGTTTAAGGATTTTTGAGCTATTTATTTCATTGGGTAACTATATATCTACTTTCAAAATTCACTGTCTCAGTCATCAGATGCCATATTATGGTTCTTTATTTAAAGTTCTTTATATACTGTTCATATATACAGTTCTTTAAAGTGTCACTCAGGTGCCATCAATAGTCACATAACCTTGTTCTAAAACTGACCCAAACCAAATCTTAATCCACAGGAAAGTGAGTCTTCACCAAGCAGTGCCAAAAACTGCACCTCGACAACTGCATGATACTCACTCTTTTGCTCAGTTTTCACTGTAACTAAGTTTGCAAGAATCAGTAAGCTCTCATAGAAACCTGTGCAATTCCATGACCTCAGAAATGAATCAAAGGTCAGCAAAGCTCAATACTTGGTTAGATCTGCTGATACTACTGACAGAAATGAAGTTAATACTGTTTATTCTTTGTATGCTGAAATATTGCAGTATTGTTTAAAAAGGCACATATGAAGATACTGCTGCACAGTGACCTACTGAAAGGGGGCTGCTGACCCGTGTTTGCTGCAGAGTAAGATTAAATACTTAAGTAGTTACTGAGGATCTCACATGCATTGATAGAATCACAGAATCACAGAACAGTTTGGGCTGGGAAGGACCTTAAAGCTCATCTAGTTCCAGTCCTCTGCCACAAGCAGGGACACCTTCCACTACAGCAGGTTCTCCAAGCCCCATCCAACCTGGCCTTGAACACTGTCAGAGATGGGGCAGCCACAGCTCCTCTAGGCACCCTGTGCAGCACCTCACCACCCTCACAGGGAAGAACTTCTTCCTTATATCTAATTTAAATCTAGATTGGAGAACACCTTCACTGAACTCACTTTACCTGAGTGCTGTGCCCTATTCTGCAATGCTCTACTCCTGCAGCTCCTTTTTTGCATATTTAGGACATTTATGCTTTACGTCGCATTTAATTCAGATAACACTTTAACTTTCAGCACTTCCTAACTCTAGTTTCATTGACTGTAAGAAATTCACTGTGAGGGCTAATTTTAGTCAATGTAGTATTAGGCTTAAAAGAATAAAATTGAATCTGTGAGTTAAAATACCACATATAAAATGCACTGGGAGAAGGATGCATGGCCACTTACTCTTTCATAATATTCTTTGTTCTTTTCTTCCAGTTGTTTCAAAGCAAGCAAAACCTTATCAATTGCTTCTTCTTTTGCCTCAATTCTGCAGAAAAAGAGTAAAGAGACATCCTTATAAAAACAGGAGAGGAATGTTATTTAAACTAGGTTAGATGTAAATACAACTGAAATGTTTGTGTATCATATTGCGACTCACCTGGGTAGATACCACTGTCTGCTTACTACACATAAAGAAATTATTTCCCATATACATCTAGACCTTCATAGAAACAGAATCCCTGATTATTCTGTTCCTTTGTAACCGCTAGAGAGGATTAAGCTGGTTTCTTCTCTCTGGGTGCAGTTTAGCTGACCTATCACAGAGGTCTCTTTCAGGACAAGATGGTTTGTGCTCCAGAAATATTTACTTCTCTACTACAGAGGCAACTCAGTCAGACACAGCTCAGCTGAATCCCAAACTGGAGAATTCAATGGGATTCAATTCTTCTGGAAATGTGGCTTGTTGAGCTTCATAACCTGCATTTGTACACTAAGAAATTGTCAGCCTTTAAGAAGCACTAAGGGAATAGGGACTGCAGCCTGAGTAGTATCCTCTGAGTATGTTTATACATTTTTGTCAGAGAACTAGCTTGCTGCTTTCACAATGTTCATAGACTACTTGTCATCCTCTTTGCCACAGCTGTAAAATAAGCATTTTTTTTTGTATTCTCTCTTCTAGAATGAGAAACACTGGTTTGCAAACGGTGTCTATTTGCAAAATTCTCTATAATCTTTCCCTCTAATCCTAGAATTCATTCACCAAATGGCACAATAGAGCAAATACTACAATTACCACAGTATCTTTTACTGTTTCAACAGCTATTTTTCCTTGAAGTTTTGTTTTGGGGTTTTGGTTTTTGACCCCTCCCTATTGTATGAAGTTATTTTAAAAGAAGATATTTTTTTCTTGGCTAAGTTTGAATCAGTCATTGAAGGTTACTAGATTTGCATCCTCCAGTGCCAATAAGTTCCACGGTATCCTTCAGGTTTTCCAATAAGTACAAGGATATTAGTTAGAGACACTAGAGCAGAGATATGTGGATATGGCTACAGCAAAAATCTATCACTCATTAGGCAGAGGTGACAGCTTGGCCACACAGTGTTACCTCCTAAATGACCTGCCATTTTAAACCATTTCTGTAGTTAGAATACTGCTATGGTCTTCATTTCTGCAACGTTAATATTTTCCATGAAGTGACAGTCTGTATCCATCACCTGGTTAATGTAAGAAAAATTATATGAATACAATTTGCTATTTTCTCTGATATATATTGGAGCTTTCCTCTTTAGATTATAGTGCTATGTTATTTCTCAGGTGAAAGCTACAAACCAGTTAGACTGATGATACTGTTTTTCTCAACTCTGTGTAGCAGATTCCATCTAGATGATTGAAACACCCAGAAGCAACACTCCACTACCACAGTTTTGTCAGTCATCGATAGGATGTTACTAAGGAAAGTAATTCATGGGACTGTTGTTCCTAACCAATCCTGCAACAGTAATCTGTACTGGAATTGCAAAATAACAAACTCCCTACAGAATCCATGCTTCAATATACAGAAGAAAAAGCAGGAATGAAAGTTAAATAAATACTACACACTTGATAATTCCTAAAGCAAAATGTGACAGATTCACTTGTATGATCCCTGAAAGTGTTCAAGGCAGTGTTGGACAGGGCTTGGAGCAACCTGGTCTAGTGGAAGGTGTCCCTGCCTGTGGCAGGGGGTTGGAATTGGGTGAACTTTAAGGTCCTTTCCACCCAAAGCCATTCTATGATGCTATGATTATGCTGCTTGTTCAGTCAAGTGTTACAGAGGAGTTACAAATTATAGAGGTGAGGACAGAGAGCAAGAGGGAAAGAGAAGAGAGAGGAAGAAAGAAAGAAAAATATAGTCAGTCAGCTCAGGCTCTGAACTGGAAAAGTTGTCTTTGTTATCTGCTTTATCCATTCACATATTCTATATCAATTAAAAGTTAAATATCTTAAAAAAAATAAATATCTTAATTCTTACTGAAACTCTAGTAAGGATTCTGGGACAGCTGATTCAGGGTCTGTAAATTGCTCTTCTGGTTTCTCCTCTTTCTTCTTTTCTTCCATGCTTTTTGGTTCACTTGTGCTAGAATTTAGACCTAAAAGGGAGGTAAGAGCAAGCAGAAAAGAAGGAAAAATAAAGAGAAATTAATGATTTCTAAAATGTCATATGTTCACCAGACTTTGTCACTTGTGACAAGTTCCTAACTGTTCTGAAATAAACAAAACAAGAGAGGGGCTTTTTGACAGCAATAATCCTGCCCAGGATAGCACTCGGGCCCTTGGTTTTATGACATCCTGAAGTGTTGCCCTGAATTGGAGAACAGTGGCCTCTGTCACTAGTTACTAGGTTTTACATTCTTGCAAATCAAACAAGCAGTTGTTCCTTTTCCAGTCCTTTGTCTCTGTTTCTTTATTAGGCTTCTTTTATCGAGTACCCTTGTTAATATGCATCTCTTTCCCTCTCCTTCTGTTCTCCTAGCACTATGAATATTTGCCTTTCACTGCAACTCAGTTTTCATTGTCAGAGCTGGAACAAAACCGCTCTCTGAAGGGCTGTGCATGTCAGCAGTATTCCCTGGGCATGTTGTCACAACTGCCAACCTCAGGATTCCACTGACAATGAACAGTTCTGTAATGGAACTCGTAGCATATATTATATAAAATAAAAGTCACAAAAAAAAGGGCATTTATGAAGATTACTCACTTTTAGTGGTCATATGATCAAATGCCAGAACCAGATTAGTTCATGTAACATGGGAGGTTTTATTACTAAATGAATATAAACATTTTACGTAACCTGTTTTCATATTAAACTACTTTTCTGCCTTCAAATTCTGCTTTCTAACAGTTATCACTCTAATAGCTAAAATTGAAAACAACTAATAGAATAACTAGTAACTAAAGTAGTAACTGTGACTAAATACAACAGGCTGGATACTTTTCCAATTTAAATGAGCCCAAGGAAACAGAAAAAAAAATCCATGGAAAGCCACATAACAAGCTTGCCAAATCAATGTAAAATCAAGGGAATGAAGTTAAAGTGACTATTGACAGATGCACTCTAATCCATAGGCTGGCCCTGAAGCAAGGCAAGGTCGGCTTTCTGTATCCAAAATAACTTCCTACCCTAGATGAGCAGTTGATCCTGCTGCTGAAACAAGTGAGGGGGCTGAGGGCAGTAAGCTGTGTGGCACAGAAAGGTGTGTAAGAGGAATGCTCACTGTGAGGCAGCTCTGCAAGGGAAGTGAAAGAAAGGGTAAACATACCTCGGAGTCTATATCTGCATGCAGCTCCTCACACCTTGGAATATCTTTCTTGTGATGTTTTATCCAGAAGAATTTTACTCCCACTCTGCTGGAAACCTGCTTGTGCAGATTTTACCTGTTCTCCTGCTGAAGAGAAGTTCACACTCAGGGATAATTGCCTAGAGCTATTAATCACTGTCTTTGTACCTCCTGCATATTTATATCACTGATACAGCTAATTCCATTTGCAGAAATCTGAAAACTTCTGACTCCCACCAGCAATACCTTGAACTTCTGAAACATTCCAGGTCAAAGTTTTAATAGTTGCTACACGTTAGTAAAATGTTTTTACTGTGGAACTTCAATACCATCACCAAGTGACTTAGTAAACCTGACATTTACCAATCCAAGAAGAAATCCTTTCCTACCTGAGCATCCACTTGAGCCTGAAGCCATGTTAAGTCCTTAATATTTATACACAACCTTTGCAGATACCAATTCAATACGATATTTTTCATGGAACTTTTAAACATCCTAAACACACAACTGTTGTAAGATTGAGATGTTAAAAGTAGGCCAAGTAAATTAAGAAAAAATAACTCAGAATTTTGGTACAGGCTGTTTGCTAAAGGAATTTTGGTACTTGGCTTCCACAAATCCCCTTAAAATTCCCAGCCCAAATGCACAAGTGCAGGATGCATTCTTTAAGTATAACAATAAATCTGTCATTCTTCAGCACAGAATTAACTGGACTGGTATTGATTCATTTGAGCATTTACTTTACTGATTTTCCTCAGAAATGTAAGATCAGTACAGCAATCTCTGAAGAATTATTGTTGTTATTAATAACGATTTTTTCTGTCCCTTACAGTAAATGGATAATCAAATCTCCTCCCTAAAGCGGGCACTAACTGAATCAGTCTGAGCAGCAGTACTTTGAAAAGGTTTTGGGTTTTTCTTGGCACTCCAGCCCCAGATGAGCTCCAGTGATGTATTTATTAAATTCTTCCCGTACAGGGAGCAACAAGAAAGCCTCCAAGCTGTACAAGGCAACAAAACCATACTCTAATAACAGATTTGCTGGATTTTGCAAGACACCAAAAATACATATGAGAGAAGGGAATGTTTTTTGGGGGGACCGAGCATTGTCTGCAGATTTAAACCATTGGCAGAGCACAAGATCTATTTCTTCTCCCAAATAGGTTATGACAGATCCCCATTATCACTACCAGCACCTTCACAACTGATAACTGCACTGCCAGGACATCCTTAGAAGCAGCAAGGAGATCCCACATACACTCACATTACTCCCTTGTATCTCAAGCAGCTGCCACTCAAGTAGCCTCCACTCCCTCAGTGCCCATCAGTAATTACCTCAGCACCCTGCAGCCACACCATAACCCCTTCCTGGTCTTCAGAGGAGGCTAATGATTCCCTCTGCCCTCAATCCCTTCCTACGCAATCCTTCCTGCATGTCCCTTGCATTCCCCACTGCCCCCTTCATCACCAGTGACCAAACACTTCACAGTGGCCAGAGCCTCCCTGTCCGCAGCCACCAGACCCCGCTGCCGCTGTCACCTTATACCCAAGCCGCCGTCCTGTGCTATCCCCTGACACTCTGAGCACCCACGTGCAAACAATTCCCTACACAGTCAAGCTCTGGAGTGTCTCCCCTCACCCTACCACCACTCACATCCAAGCCTCCTTCATGGCCCTCAGCACCCCAAGGCCTAAATTGTCACCACTGCACGTTACGCTGTCCCTACTCCCGGTCCCTCCGAGGCTACACCGCCCCGCGTCCCCGGCTCCCACCCGTACCCCGACAGCACCCACACGCTGTCCCGGTCCCCTCGAGGCCCCGCCGCTACCGGTGCCCGGCCCGCACTCAGCCAGGCCCCGCCGCGCTCCGCCCGCAGCGGCGCCAACAGCCGCCGGTCGCCAAGGCAACCGGGAGCCTCGCCCCGCCCATAGGCGCGTTCCGCGGTGCAGCAGCGCCCTCTGGCGGGCCGCGCGGGATCTGCCGCCGGGGAAAGGCCCGCGGAAAGAGCGCGGCTCAGCGAGGAGAGCGCGGTCAGCCCAGGCGACAGAGCTGTGTGCGGGTCCTGGGGCTCCTGCACACAGAGCAGTGCCAAGGGCCTGTATATGCCCAGATGCCCCAGATTTTTCCCTCCTTTTTCCCCACCGTTAGCTCGTTTCCTGAGTATCCCATAGCAGCTCTTGTGTAATCTGAAAATCCTCTTCCCTTGCACCCCACCATGTGTTCCACCCCACAGCCAACGATCCCCCCAAGCCTGTAAGCTGATGAAGGTCCTTTGGGACAGACCTGGGAATGGTGGCTCCTTCAAAGAGGGCATTTGGGCTCCCTGACATGCCCCTGTGCATCTGTGCTCATTTGTGTGCGTGAGGATGAACCTTTACTGGGCTGAGAGATCCTGTGATGGGTTTGGGAGCAGACGGGCAGGGTGATGCTGAGACTTCTCTGCATACAGTTGTTCCTCAGCCTTCCTTTGTGTGTATGGAAAAGAGCCTTTTATCACTTAACCTAACAGTGCAGAGGGGTCTACAGGGGAAGAAAAGAGCTTAAGGCCCAGGAGGCAAACAGAGGATCTAAAGCAAGAGGTGATGTGGTCAAAGACACCAGCCAGGAAAATATCAGTACAGTAATGGAATCGTAGAATCACAGAATGATTTGGGTTGGAAGGGACCTTAAAGCTCATCCAGTTCCAACTCCCTGCCACAGGCAGGGACCCCTTCCACTAGAGTAGGTTGCTCCAAGCCTCTGTGTCCAGCCTGGCCTTCAACACTGCCAGGGATGGGGCAGCCACAGCTTCTCTGGGCACCCTGTGCCAGCGCCTCAGCACCCTCACAGGGAAGAACTTCTGCCTAAGAGCTCATATAAATTGCCCCTCTGTCAGTTTAAAGACATCCCCCTTGTCCTATCCCTACAGCCCCTCTACTGCTTACTTGTAAGCCCCCCTTATGTATTTGAAGGCTGTTCTAAAGTCTCCCCTTCAGGAGCCTTCTCTTCTCCAGGCTGAATCAGTGGCATCCGAGTTAGATTTAATACACTAGTGCAGAGCAACCATGGGGACAGGCTGTGAACTGGTTGCAGACTCTTTGTATGAAGTAAGTGACAAATCAGTCTGAGTCCTCACCATTCACATCTTTCAGGCATTTTCAGTCTCTGCTGCAAACACTCAAGTGATGAACTGGCGGTCAGTCTGACCTGGGACAGCCCTCATGTACGTAATCCCACAGATTTCATCTGAATCCATCTCAAGAACAAATCACTAGAATGAATATTATAGGAGAGAACACATTCTAACAGACACAGCACACACCCTGTACACAGTTCTACAGCTGACACTTGTCCCAGTGCTGGAGGCTTTTGCCATCTGGAGCTTCCTAGCAGCAAGAACCTGCTTTTCTCTATGCTTGGGTCCAAAGTTCTTATTTAAAGGGTTTGGACAAAACAGAACATCAGTTCCATTTCCATCTGGCAGGGGCCAAGCATACCAGCTAATACAGTGTGTCTGGTGTAAAAAGGCTGTTTTACCGCTGCCTTTTTTCTTCTTTGGGACTGCTGGAGGGGGGGGAAGAAAAGGGATATTTAACACAACAGGAAAATATGTTCCATGCCATGGACCAAGAATGGCAAAAAGGCCCCCACTTCTAATTAATGTACGAAATGGTGTTTCTTGTTCTGCACTGAACAGGAGTTTGGTGTGGGTTTGAACACATACAGCTTAGCATGCTGCATTAGGATGAATAAACAGGATCTGTGGATGAGAGACGCTTGAATGAAGATTATTGCAGGGAGAAACCAAGTTTTAAGCTTTCACAAGGTCTCCGTTTCACTTTGATCCTTGTAAACTGAGTGGAAGCCTTATTAAAGGCTGGTTGAGCCAGAATTTTACCGCAAAAAGCATGATCCAGTCGCTGATTTGTCATCAGGAAAGGCCACATATGAACTACATGAAATTGAAAAAAACCATAATTTACCACACCTTTATACCAACACCATGTTTACTAATTTTTCCCTAAAAAGCAGTAATTTGCTTCACCATGTCCAAGTTTGAGTAGGAGGGGAAACAAAAGAATTTATGGTTAGCAGGAAGCCCGTACTGATGATCTAGGAGACCTCATAGCAGCCTTCCAGTATCTGAAGGGGGCCTATAGGGATGCTGGAGAGGGACTCTTCATTAGAGACTGTAGTGACAGGACAAGGGGTAATGGGTTAAAACTTAAACAGGGGAAGTTTGGGTTGGATATAAGAAGGAAATTCTTTCCTGTTAGGGTGGTGAGGCACTGGAATGGGTTGCCCAGGGAGGTTGTGAATGCTCCATCCCTGGCAGTGTTCAAGGCCAGGTTGGACAGAGCCTTGGGTGACATTGTTTAGTGTGAGGTGTCCCTGCTCATGGTGGGGGGGTTGGAACTGGATGATCTTAAGGTCCTTTCCAACCCTAACTATTCTATGATTCTATGATATACGGAAGAAGTTCTTTACTGTGAGAGTGGTGAGGCACTGGAATGGGTTGCCCAAGTTGGGGCAGTGTTCAAGACCAGGTTGGACAGAGTCTTGGGTGACGTGGTTTAGTGCGAGGTGACCCTGCCCGTGGCAGGGTGTTTGGAACTAGATGATCGTAAGGTCCTTTCCAACCCTAACTATTCTATGACTCTATGATCTAGGGTTCAGGGATTGAAAGAGGAAACGGCCTCAAGCTGCACCAGGGCAGGTTTAGATGGAGCTGAGGAACAATTCCTCACCAAAGGGTGCTCAGGCATTGGAACAGGCTGCCCAGGGCAGTGCTGGAGTCACCATGCCTGGAAGTGTGTAAATGAGGCCCTCAGTACCACGGGTTAGTGGTGGCCTCGGCAGTGCTGGGGTAATGGTTGGACTTTATGACCTTAAAGGTCTTGTCCAACCTGGTTGATTCTATGATGCTATAAACACACCACCAGGCCGGCTTTCCTCATCACAGGAGGTCAGTGCCATCACTGTGCTCCCAGAAGGACTCCTCTGGCTTCAGTCTGGTGCCTTGGCTGCTGAAGGTCCTGCTGAAACATCCATTGCAATGGTGGCATGTGTATTTTGTGCCACTAATCAAAGAGAAAAGCGCTTACAGCGGCATTCCAGATGACTGAAACCTCCGTTATCACTACCCGTATCTCTACTGCAAACAGGGGCGTGTGTTCACACCTCTTCGGTTGCCTGTCACCAGGTAAAGTGAAGGACTGGCTGTTTTACCTCAGGGCAGAGGGGCAAGTCAAGCCGATATGGACTTCATGAGGGACTTCACACCGTGGTGTGAGCCGGCTTCTGCGAGCTTCTGCCCAGAAAGTGCCCGCTAAACCCGCCCCGGGGGCTCCCGCTGCACCGAGGACAGCCTCCAACCAGCCCGGTCCCTCAGGTACGGCGGGCACGGACACGGCTGCGGCCCGGGCTGGGAGGTGCAGGGCCCGCCCCGCTCTGCGGGAGGCGGCGCCGCCATTGGCCCGGCCTTGGCGGGCCGGGGCTGCCTGTGCCACCGCCTCCCTTCCCCTCAGACGGGTGAGGACGCGGCTGTGACGGGGACGAGGTAACCAGTGACTGGAGGGACGGGCTGCGGGGCTGAGAGGGCTGCGGCTGCCCTGAGGGGGCTCGGAAGCTGGGGAGGGTGCCTTCCTAATTCAAAGACGTATAAACCCCCAACCGTGCCCCCAGTGCTGGGGCAGCCTGGGGAGGAGCCTCTTGGCAGCTGAGAAGCCCTGGTTAAGGCTTTCTGCAGCCGGCTCCAGTGGGGTTGCTGTGGTGGGCTTGTGGGACCGGTTCCCTGAGGACGGGGCAGAGCTCACCCTGTTTAATGCCGTGGGGGGAAGCGCCGCTTGTCAGCGACCTTCCTCAGAAGCGATCCGAGAGCCGGTGTGGAGAAGGGCAGCCTTGCCTTGCAAAGGGAGCCGAGCGCTGCGCTGTTGGAGGGAGCCCGGTAGTGAGAGCCGAGGAGAGATAAAGCCTGCCCGCACCCAGCTTCTGGTGTTTTAAAGGGACTCTCCTCGTTTAAAGAGGGTGCTTAGATCTCAGTTGAGAGATGCTAATCACCTTTCATTTCAAAACACTAAATTAATTGCATCTTCCACGCTGTCTCTGGAATGACTTGTAGAATCGGACCTGGCCCTGAAGTCCAACACGCTCAGTTGTGTCTTTCCTGTTTGAGCAGAAGGATCTGTTTTTATCGTTGCCATTGCAGGCTAAAGGTGACTCAATCTGGGGACAGAGGAGTGTTCTCGAACTTTGTCGAAAGTGTGAGATGAGGGGACTTAAACCATGCTTGAGAGGGTGCTCTGAAAAGAAACTTCATTTTGTTTGATAAAGGAAGCAAAGCGTTGCAGCAGAATATGTGTGTTTTCATATATCGGAGAATTGGAGATTTCTGTGATGGAGTATTTAAAAAACTGATGAATTAAACCACTTTACCAAGTTAATATACAGCAACAGTATAGCTTTCCAGCCTTAGTTATCATCGGTCATTATTACTATATTTTCCCAAACAATCATATCTGCAAGTGGTAGTAAACCTAGGAGTATACAATGCCATGGAGCTGATGCACTGTGTTTAGCACTGGTGACTACAGTTCTTGATGGTTTTGGTTGCCAAAGTCAAAGCAAAGCACTTGAGAGCTCTTTGTCAGGAGAAGCTGGAAATCAAAGTGAGCATTTTGTGATTTCCCTGAATTACCATCCCTCTTTGCTTATTGTTAGTGCTTTGTGTGCCTTGCTGCTCCCCTGGGAGAAAAGGGGGTGATCTCATCTGCCTCATACACAGTTTGTATTATTTTGGGGGGTAAGAATTACCCTAGTTTTGCTAGACATCCCTCTCATTTATTTTGCAAGGTGATTCTGGTTTCATCAGACACATCTTCTCTTTGTCCTTTTGATTTCACCTGACACCTTTGCTCTCATTTTGCACTGTTTGGGCAAGTTCACTGCAAGCCTTTGTCCACTTGCAGCTATGTGTTATTCGTATATTCATGCATAGCTATGTAGTAAAATACTACTAATGTTACAGTGGCACAAAATGCTTATATGCGGTTACGAAGTACCATATTTTAGAGTGCTTATGTCTAGGTTTAAGGCAAGAAAATAATAAGCATCTTGCTCAGTCTGATTCTGCCTTATGGGTGCAGCCAGTCCCCTGCTTTGGCTGTGAGGCATGTTCTGGAGTCCTCTGAAGCTGTCATTGGACCTGTCTCATGTTAAAGAGATTCCCTTCCAGCATCTCTTGCAGCCCAGAATAATGTATTACAAGTTTCACTGTCAGACTTTTAGAATTCAGTGAAATAGGTCTTCAGGTCTTGTTTACTAATGCTGATAAGGGCAGAGTAAACAACACTCCATCACCCCCAGAAATGAGTGACAAAAAGGTCAATCTGTCTTTTCTCTAAAGCACTGGGTAGAGACCATGGACAGATACATTCCCTGGAGTAAACTCCTGTTATTCTGCAGGAGACACTTGCCAGATTCCCAGGTGGACATACTGCTCTGAGTTAATCCTTGGAAAGAACCTTTGATGCTTGCACAGAAGGTGAGATTTTTAACTGCTGAACCAGGAAGCAGAACAGTGGAATGAAGTCAAACAAATTACTTGTTTTCTACCTTGTGTTTTTCCTTGTGCTCATGAGGGAAAGGAATAGGAGAGAATGAAAAAAACCCAAACAACCATGAGAAAGCATTATTTACAAGGAAACATGAAAGAAATTCATAGTCTCTCAGTAGAAAAAAAGGTTTCAGTTTTATTTTTCTTTAATTAAAATGTTGGTTCTGTCCTCTGGAAGTCAGTCTTTAGTCAATAGTGACTTGTTTTGAACCAGACTCTTCACCAAGGATGGCTGTCTGACAGATAACTACTAAAAGCTGTTGCTAACTTTCTGGTGCTTAATCCCTGTTGCATTTGAAGTCAGCTGATTTAGGTGTCTCATAAGGTAATTTAAGGAGGCTCCTTAGTTTGTTCTTCCAGACCACTTATGCTTTTTGATATGTCAAGCCAGTACTGTTACATTTGCTGTATTAGTAGTCTCCAGTCCTTTAGCTTATTTGGGCATAAAGTGAGTGAGTGACAGCTGATTTTAGCAGACTTATTTGTGCTTCCTTCTTCTGGTAGGGAGTCATTCCAACTCACCTGGGTACAGTAACACCCTGTGCTAGTTTCTTACTGGTTGGTATGAGGTTTCCTTGCTATATGTAACTTTATTCTATTTATTGCATTGACAGCAACAGGAGGAGAGAGAATATGTATGCGAGGGTTTGATTTGTGATATAGTAGTCTTGACTGGAAGTGTACCTTTCTAGTTCTGCTTGCAAGGCTGTGACATCACTTTAATAGTCATTCTGTGAGACAGGGGGTGTAATCTGTGGTAGTGCTGCCCCAGGAAGGGTTAAAAGTGAGCCAGGTGAAACCTTTAGGGATGTGAGTTTGGATCCTCTTAGATTTAGTGATTTTGGGGGCTCTGGGTTTGGCTGCTTCCTGCAGAGCTAACACCTTGCATAACTGTTCCCTTGGAGGATGAACCACTCCTGCAAGGTTAAATACCTGTTCAGGGACAGGTATTATACTCCAGACCCAGCCTCAGAACTCTGCTGTATCTAAGAAAATGTCAAACACAACTTCTGTTCCTTCTGTCCTATTCCTGTGCCATTCAGCAGCATTTACAGGGCAATTCCCACTCATGCACATGATTTGACACTGCACCTCATGCAGTGCAACTACAGGCTGCTACAGAAACTGTTCCCTGCTTCTCACTTATGTATAGCAACTGGGCGTAGCTCTCCCTGTGACTTTTTAGGCTCCTTACATCATACTGCATCGTGCTTTTTGCACCTGGCCATCAATATTCAGTGAAACTGGTACCAGTCAGGGGAAAGACGGGGCTTTGCGTGATACAGCCCAGCCCAGCAGTGCAAATAATCTCCTGAGTGAAGTTTTCATGGCTGATAGACTTCCTGTTATTCTTGCCATTTAATATCACTGTTAAGGAGTACTGACATTGCTGCTTGCTGGTTTCAGCTTAGCCAGACTCAACCTGCTAGCAGATGGAATGTTCATATAATGGAGCTATCCATTAAAACGTCTTTATGCATGGGAAGAGGGTTGATTTTCCTCTTAATAAGGAGCTATGGTAAGCTTTTTAAATGTAGCTATTAAAAAAGCCAACAATAACCCTGAAATAAAAACTTCATTGCAAAGATTGAATTAATTTTGGTTACTGAGATGAGACCTGGTTGTGACTATTCTATCTGCAGACTAGGCAGCTTTTATTAACCACCCTCTTTAGCTTATTTACTGTTTCTGTGACTGCAAGACTCCTAAAGAATGTTTTATTTCCCTCTGGCACCTGGTTTCTGCTGGTGATTGGATTCTATATAAGGCTCTGCTTTCAGGTAGGTGTGTGCCTCAGGACCAGATTATTTGACCCAACCTTCCTTAGTAGCCTTCAGATTACATCAGTTATTAGGTGGGTAATTTTAACCTTAAACACTTGCAGGAGTGAGTGTCTAAGGTCAGTGGTTAGTCAGTCATCTCCTGAGAAAGGACAGCCAAAGGGCTTGTTTTGTTCACTGTCTCATTGTGCAGGGTACTAATCAGTGAAACAGAGCTGTACTTACAATAACAAGTTGTTAGATGAAAAGTAGGGGGGCTGCAGTGACAAATGAGAGATTTAGGTAAGGGATGATGTTGTTTCCCACAGCTACTTGTTTATACAGTTTGTTGTGTCTGAGAATGATGGAGTGCCTTCTGCAATGCTCTGTGTGATCTCAGTTCTGTGTGGGGCTACAGGCAAAGCTCTGGAGCTGAGATTAATGGTTGTCATCACGGGAGGCAAAGATGACTTAAAATGTCACCCTCTTGATTTGGCATTTCTGTGCTCAACCTGTACACTGTATTGTGCACCCTCCTGCAGAGGAAATGTGCTGCCACCAGTGACTGAGGAGTTGGCTGTGGCAGTGCTTTGGTGATGCGTAAAAGGGGCAACCTATTAACCCTTGGGTTCCTAGTCTTATAGAAAATCAGTGTGGTTGTGGCTGTCCTTGCTCAACTAGCTCATCAACTCCACTCAAAGGAGGAGTGAGAGCAGTGACTCTGAAATTAAGTCACAGGAGTGCAACAGATACTGACTAATGAATTCCCCTAACAGTGAGATAAAGTCATGTGGACAGGCTTTGAAATTAACTTTTTTTGGTGTTTATTCAGAAACTGTAGACTTGAAAGTCTTTCTGTTGGTGTCCAAGATTGAAACTGCTCTACAAACTCTCTTACTGTCAGCTCAGCAGAGTGAGCGTTAGTCTAAGTAAATATTTGAATTCAAACCTCATGTTTTCTATTTGTAACATAGAATCATAGAATAGTTTGGGTTGGATAGGACCTTAAGATTATCCAGTTCCATACGCACACACACACCCCCCACCATAGGCAGGGACACCTCACTCCAGACCATGTCGCCCAAGACTGTCAAACCTGGCCTTGAACACTGCCAGGGATGGAGCAACCTGTGCCAGTGCCTCACCGCCCTTACAGTAAAGAACTTTCTCCTTACATCCAACCTG